ACAACCCAGAAGACAGCCATTTTCGAATTTCCAAATCTTACAGTATTAAACACAGGTAGTGAATTACAACGCTGGCCATGTAATCCTGGGGTCCCGGGTTCGATTCCCGGCGGTGCCCGAATTTATAACTTGTGTTGGGCAAGGCTATGGTCTAGGCAACACGGAGTTTTCCTCCGGGGCTTCCCCGATTTCTCCGTGGCATACCAACAATTACTCCATTCACACACAGAAGAAGGCAATGGCAAACCACTTCTGGATCATCTGCCAAGAACGTATATGAACAGGTCCCAGTCCGAGAAAAGGATGGAAGGATCCTGTTCATAATATATCGCCAACCTCCTGTTAAGGAGACGGCGTAATAAAGAAGAAGAAGAAGTGAATTACACATACAACATCTCATGTAATTGTTTTAATAATAATTAATTCAACAAATTCCGACATCTTTCGGTCGCTACCGGTCGTCATCAAGGGTTGTCAATATATCTCATTATTATATTACGTAATTTACACTAACTAGGTTGTACCATAAATACTTAAAATTCTACATTTAAAACAGTGAATGCACTTTAATGATGTAAGGTTAATAAAATATCGAAAAGTTGGTTACTACGTTCTTAATAAAATTATTGTTTGATTGAAGAGCGTATAATTGAAGGTCCTTATTGATGAAGCAGTACAGGTATAGTCAATTTGTCTATATACTCTTTTTGTAATGACCTATCAAATTCAAATTATTTTACATTTGAGTTATACATTTCAAAATATGCAACAGCAAATTTATCTTTTCTTGTCTAAATATTCATGTTTCTTTGGATCCATCTCTGCTATCTTCAGAAAGTACAGCTGTCGCTGTATGTTTTTACATTGAACACAGGCACAAGAAATTTGTTTACGTTTTATTGCTTCAACATCTCTTCACGCATTCACTCGTCGCTGTAATTTACTTTTCCTTGTTTCTTATTAATTCGTAATTGTGAAACGTGCATCGGCTGTAGCTCTCAGATTCCGTTATTTTTGTGCATTACGAACAGTTGAAAAAAGTAATAGTAGCAAACATGAAAGAACCACATACCATGAATTCTCCTCCTTTGACATTTAATACTCATTACATACCTGCATTTACTCTGATTTATTTTGATTCCTTACAGGAAGCTAAAAAGTTGACTGCCTTGTGGGTAGGTCATGTTCCTCTGTCCTTTATCCAGAGTGAAACTCTGTGTGAAAGGATTTTAACGAAATTTTTAAATTGCAAACCATTCCCTAAAACAGCAGTGAAAGCGGATATTTAAGAACCACTTTAGCCAATTATCTGAAGCCATAAATAAAAGTATCTGTCTTGCTTTATATTCTTAATAATGTTTTAATATTTTACTCAAGCTATAAACGCAAAGGTGAGATTTGAGGTTTTCTTGGCGACGAGTACAAAGATTGTATGTAGTCTAGTAGATATTGACCGAGGTTTCTGATGATATTAATGTTTCCATCATCAGGGCGATGAGGAAGGCCGTAAACTCTTCTACCAGACTACACGGAACAAATCGACACCGTGGCCTGGCATCTGAGCTCAAAGCTCAAAGCTGAACCAGAAGTAGCAACTTCGCCCTGGACCTGTCATAATCGTGACTTTACTGGTTCTAGAATTACTAGTATAAATAAAATGACTGACTGGCATCCCAGCCCACGTCCGTATTACGTGCTCTCAACAGCCAAAGCACGTACAGTACGTTCAGATGCAATCTGTTGCTTCCTAGTCGCATTCTGTCCCATGCAGTTATACTTTATATTTAAGGTGTGACTGGTTACTTACTTATCTGCTCACTTTCTATTTCGATTATGTGTTAAACTGATCTAACCCTTCCTGATGAACCGGTCTGATGTCGGTAACATCGCAAAGAAAGCTCGACAATATGTTATTTATTCGCCACTGGACCTGAATTGCGTGTACTCAACTCACCACACGCCTATTTTTTGTATGAAACATTCTGGGTTCTTGAACTATGACTTTCATTTCTAGTACACGTACAGGTGGAGTCATCCAAGCCTTTCTCTCCAGGAATCGCTTATTATGTTAATGAACGCATAAACTGCAGGCCTACGCCATCATCATAAACTCCTACGGATTAGGCCTTGTTCCATTTCAGAATCGATTTAGATATTTGGCAGTACTCCTTGTACAAGTGATCAGCTCGCCGCAAGGCCTCTTTCTACATAGAGCAGAACGGCGGAGGAAGACGAGGGCAAACATTTATGCTTCAAGTAGAATTCGAACCAGTGGCCTCAGAATTGAAGCCATTGATACGAAAGTTTTAGACCACGCGGTCAATGACACCGGCGCTTGCAACATCGTCGTTCCAAAAAGAATTATATTTTCTAATGAATGAGCTGAATATCTTAATCTGTATACTAGCTTCGGGATGGTCAACCTAGTTTATAATCCAAATACTGTTAAGAATCTTCTCTTCCTCTCCACGCCCAGAGGTTAAAACCCTTTTATCAAGCGAGTATCGGGGATAAATCGGCCGGAGCGTGAAGCTAACCCAAATTTAAAAATGTGTGAATCATTACCTTCACTTTCTACGCCTTCGTGAAGTGGTAAATGGATGTTGGAAGAACTTTACCTTTACACTTACCGTTAAACTTTAACAAATTCAGTCCCAGAAACAAGCCTTCAAGCCAGCAGTCGTCAAACGCTTAGATAGCCCTTGACAGTTTGTGTTGTTCTATTCTTGAAATAATACGACTTTCTTTCGAAATACATTCACTTTTACACTTGAAATATGTGTCAAGTGAACGTAAGCCATTCGATAGGAGAGACTGCATCCTATTCTCTGTGGATTTCTCCGCATACGCATCTCGATTGCTCAAATTTAATTTATGTCTATCTTCAGTGTTTAGGTGTAATTTTGTTACGATATACCGGCCAGAATTATAATAAACCTTTTTTATAAGAATGTTTGCTCGTAAATTTAGACACCAAATCTGTGTGACATAATCGAGACAGGAGGCGGGTAGTCTATGTGAATAAAATAGATCCAAGTGATGCAAAATGTTCTCCGTGTTTGAGTGTGTTCATTTCAATATAAGTTCTGTCTCATTGTAAGTTGAACTACTTAAGCCTGTTCATGAAATTATGATTTCCGAGGTGTCATTTACATAATCACATTGACAAATTTGTTCTCAGACTTTGAAGATTAAATATAACACAGAACATGAAAATCGATGTGTAGTGTAATACTGAAAGGTGTACGTGCCTCATACGTAGACATCAGAACAGATGTTGTGTTTAAAACTTTAGTGAAAAAAACAGGTTGAAATATAATTACCATCTTAGAATATTGCGTAAAATTGTCATTTAGACCATCTTTAATTGAACACAAATTGCCGGGGAAAATCTAGCAAATAAATTAATTAATTAATTAACAAATAAATGCGCATATATGCGTGCTATTAAATTATAGTTATATATAACTCCATAGAATAGAGTTCATTTCGACAAGTTATATAATCGATAACCTGGTAAAACAATTCTCGCCGTTTATGGAACAGGAAGGTTTAATACCGTATCCACAAGAACCCGTCACCGGTCCCTGTTCTGAATCAGATCAATCCGCTCCACACCTTCACATCTATTTCGCTTTCCCATCTACGTCTAGATCTTCGAAGTGGCCTCTTTCCTTCAGTTCTTCCAACCAAAACGTTTTATTTGTTTATCATCTCCCCATTCTTGCGACACTCTCCCTCCATTTCGTCATGTTTGGAAGATTCACTATACATACCAAAGAAGGACATTGACTTTTTTAACTGCAGTAAATCTAAAATTCTTCAAGGGAATGGTCTTAAATCGTGGAGGTCCGGTGTATTGCAGATGGGGTTAACAAACGTAAAGTTGGCCCGTCCCTGTCTGTGGCAACCGGCAGTTTGCAGCTATCATGCGACTAGACGTACATCACATAAAATGTAACTTTCATTGCTCGTCAGATGGCTATATAAACCAGACTGGCCACTTGCGGTTTGCCTTATGTCATCCAAATAAACTACAACTCTTTTATTTTTACTGTACGAACCTTCATCTACTGTATTAAGTTAGCGGCGTTTTATTTTCTAATACGTTCTTCATGATATAATCTTTTTTTCCCTTCACCACTGAAATCACCGATGATTTGTAACCGTCTAAATCCTTACGTAAGGATAATCCGGCTTACGATGCATAAACGTACTTTCGTAAGGCCTGATAATACGTTCTATACAAGACAAGAGAAAGGCAAAAACGATGGTCTGACACATCTTCTTTGAATCCGTAACTTCTATGCTTATCAATAACGAGAAGCTTTGAGAGATTTTGTAACTAAGTAATCAGTTTGTTTCAACCGTTTAAAGCACAGTAACACCACCTGTTACAAAATTCAACATATCTTCATTTTGTCCTGTTAGTATATTTATGGATTTCATTTGATTTTCAGAACATATATATCGATTATTTCCCTAAAGCGTTACCAAAATGATATTTGTACAGGAGATGTGTTTTCTTCGATTAAGAACTGAATCTTAAATGTTATTTAGAAGAAAACTTTGCTTTAGAGGGTTAGATTCAGTGAATAAGTTTCTTTGTTTGCTGTGACCCATGCAGCATTTTATGAGTTTATTGAAATGAAGAGGAGATTATAATATTTTATGGCTATATATACTTCACAATGATTTGCCTCTGATTTTTGTGTAATTTTAACTATGTGTTTGTGTGCGCACGCGTGTGCATGCGTGCGAGAGCGAGTATAGACGTATTTTCTAGGTTAAGTAATTAATTTTTTCGAGATTCATTGCCTGTTATTATGTGTTGTATATTGGATAAATATGTACTGATGTCAAAATTCGATTAATTTGCAAGAAACTTGCAATTACAACAGAGTGTTTGACATTCGTTCATGAGAAGCGAAAATTCATATTTCATTACGATAACAAAGAATACTCATTTTTATTGTCGAAAATAATTTTTTTTTTTTCAGTACTCTTTTCCACATCACCACACGGCGCCTCATTTTCGTCGTCAACTATCTCAACACGAACAAAAGGAAATTTTAACAGACATCCAACAGAACCACAGATTTCAACAGCCACTAGTGGATTCACGGTCCTTATCGAACTCCCATGTTCATCCATTCTCAATTCTCCAGAATAGTCAGTACTCTCAGCAACAAAATCTACATGCAATTCCGCAGCAACCAATCTCAAATCCAACCCAGCATTCAACTTATTCTCTGCAATCTTCTCCATTGTTCTCTCAGCCACAGTCCGCCATTGCAGCTCAGCATTCTCCCATTTTGTTGTCTCTACAACAGTCTCCACTTTCGTCCCCACAGTTTTCATCATTATTCTCCCAGCAGCCACAGACTCCACCTGAACTTCAACACTCATCTGTGCCAACTCAGTCATCGCCAGTTCTGTTATCCTTATTAAACTCCCCTCTTTCACTGCATAAATCAAAAGAACTGTTCTTACCACAATCACAGACGCAAGGCGACATTGAAGAATCACAGCAGTCACCAGAAATTTTCTCTCAGAAACCGAAATCTCTGCTTTCGACGCAACAGTCACTACTTGCAACTCACGAGTCTAAAGAAAATCAACCGAAACTCCAACTGACAACCCAAGAACCGAAAACAGAAGAACACGGTACAGATATAAAAGTACTGGAAGGAATTTCAAACACTGAATTCACAATTCAACGTTCCATCTCTGATCCTGTAGAACTACAGAAAGTGCAACTTTTAGAATTGCAGCGAGAACAGGAGCGGAAAGAACGACAGAAAAAACTGCAAGAAGAACAGCTGAGACTTATCCAGGAGCAAAATGAGAGACGTCTTAAAGAAAGGGAAGAAGAAGAAAAGAGGGATGAAGAGAGACGGCTTAAACTGCAAGAACAGCTAAGAAAAGTACAAGAAGAGAAAGTGAAACGTAGAAAAGAACAAGAAGAGGAACAACTGAGACTTATCCAAGAAAGAAGAGAAAGACTACTCAAACAGCAAGAAGAAGAAGAACTCAGATTAATTCAAGACAAAGAAAGACAAAAGAAGGAGGAAGAGGAGGAAAAACTGAGACAAATTGAAGAACGGAAAGGAAGTGAAGAGAAACAGCAGGTACAGCCACTGGCTTCAGCACTTCACGCACAAGCAACACCAGCGACTAAGGAAGTGCCCCAAGAAATTATACTACAGCCAAGCCAGAACGAACAGCGGCCTCGGCAAAGGGCCAGAGTTGTCGAGGAATCGGATCAAAGCATTGCTCCAGAGGAATTATTTTTACAAAATGAAAGACAGAAACTCTACTATGAACTGAAGAAAGCCCAAGAACAGCAGGAAAAGAAACAACACGCGTCTGACGACAACCAACAAACTCAAGAATCCCAGCAGGTAACAAGAAACAACGAGAGACCTATAAACCACATCGTACGGACAACACCTGACCAGGGCAGTGCTCAAGACTCTAAGCTGAGTCAACTAGAAAAGCAACTGCATCAGAAGCAACTCCAAGAGCAACTCCAGAAGCAATTTCAGCTTCAGTTGCTTCAAAGACAGGACCTCTTGCGTCAACTGAAATTGGCAGTTTCTAACACAGCGACTCCTACCAACGAAGATCAGATTGTACCAGGCCCCATTGCGATTTCGGGAGGGAACACTTCGTCCCCACTGTTTCTTGCCAACGGTCAGAAGATACGAGTAGTGCAGAGTCCCAGGCAAGGCCGTCCGCTCACAGATAACAATTCTCGTAATGGACATTCTTCAACGCATCCTGTATCAACTACAACCCAGAGACCTCCCAGGGCTTTATTCGAGGAGCTTACGAAAGGGGTGTTACCACCTGGCGCTGACTTCGAAGTAATCAGACACAAGCAGGATGGCGCGCTCGAAGATGTTGGAACTCAATTGCCACAAAACTTACCGCAGAAGAAAGTGACATTTGTGTTCCTTGAAGAACAAGCAGATGGTTCGTTTAAAGTGAAAGGTGTTCGAGGTAACAACAATGGAGACCCTGAAGGAGAACAAACGCCTGCTGGCGATGTGGAGTCAATCATAAAGAGAATTCAGGAAGGTGACCTGAAGCTACCAGCACCATCCAGCATTCCCGTTTTGCAGCAAAGCACAGTCCCTCAACTACCAACAAGTCTGCCATCAGCAACGGTTTCTCAGCCTTACACACCTCATTCTATCTCGAATTCATTTCCAGCTACTTCAGAACCAAACAAGATTATTAAAACGGTCTCGTCCGGTCCTAATTTCCAACCACGTCCAACTACAGCCAAACCTAACAGCATCATTAAAACTGTTTCATCAAATTTAAATTTTCAACGTCATCCAGGGATGGAATTTCTTCAATCAGTGACTTTGCCACCTCTTTATAACGTTGATTCCACAACAAAAAAGGATTCAACAGTGAAGAGTCAAATAAACAAGCAACCCACACAAACCAGTTTTTCGGCTACACATTTGAACAGTCCTTATTCTGTAGAAGCTCATCCGACGGGACAGGATGCGGCAGATTCTGTATTTCCGCAACAAACTCTTAGTTCCACAAATTCTTTTATAAAGAAAGACCAGCAACCAATCGTTCCTTCACAAAATGTCGAACGAATTATTCCTCAATATCAACAGAAAACTAATTCAGTAACCCCATATCCCACAGTCCCACAATTTTCACCAACAAATAAATATTCCCCTTCACCTGTTCCACAATTTTCAACATCGACCCCTAAGAAGGAATACCAATCGTTGGAACCGTTTCTTCCGACGAACCCTTCGTTTGTAAATCCACCCCAGTTTTATTCTCCATTCTTTTCACTAGGAAATTTCCCGAAACAAACAGATCAGAAACAGGAAACAGCTGGAATCATTTACTCTAATCCAACAACGCAGGTGCCACTTCTGACAACGAACACGCCAACACGTCAGAGTGTTTCTAAACACAAAGAAATCACATCTTCTGATTATACGGACACGCAACGAGACTTCCAACAGAATGTTGAAGCACCGTCCCTGAAGACACCGACAAGGGTAGCGGCGCCATCAGCTCAAAATATTCTGAAGGAACCGGGAAGACTTGTGCCGCTGGACGAAGATGGGTCGACTGACTACAAGACAAAGGTGGAAGCACCGTTGTCACTGTCTGACTTTCTCAAGAAAGAAGGGCTCTTTGCTATGGCTAGATTTCTTCGCGAGTCAGGATTAAACAACATGCTTAACGACACTGGTGAGCTGTTAACTGAGGTCAATATTACCTAGATATCAGTGTTGTAGCGCCATGTAGACTGGTAGACGTTTGCCAACGTTTCAGAGGCACTTGCTGCCTCCATCATTAAGTAGTACCTCTGAAACGTCGGAAAACTTCTACGAGACTACGCGGCGCTACAACCCAGAGACAGCCATCTTCGTACTCACCGCCATGAGAAACTCAAATCCTACTTAATGCATGAGTAATGCTGAAAAGGAAATTATCGGTATGATTTTAAAAATACAGCCAACTTCTGAGAATCTTCTAACACTTCTGTTTCAACAGTTCATCATAGTGACTGAGTCTATCCTGAATGTAAAACAGTGGTATTAATATCTCCTTCAAACAGGAAATTCAAGGGCGATTTCCTGGCCAATACTATTTTACTTTCCTTAAAAATAACCAGAAGCCACTGTGGTCTAGCGGTTAGAACGCTGGCCTTGTAATCCTGGGGTCTCGGGTTCGATTCCCAGCGGTGCCCGAATTTATAACTTGTGTTGGGCGAGGCCGTGGTCTAGGCAACACGGAGTTTTCCTCCGGGGCTTCCCCGATTTCTCCGTGGCATACCAACAATTACTCCATTCACAAACAGAAGAAGGCAATGGCAAGCCACTTCTGGATCATCTGCCAAGAATGTATATGAACAGGTCCCAGTCCGAGAAAAGGATGGAAGGATCCTGTTCATATGGACCTGTCGTCAGACAGAACACTAAATAAAAAAAAAGAACCAGTTTCCCTTTTAAGATAGTATTTGATTTCATTATAAAGAGGAGCGGTAGATAATTGATCAGATTAAGCAATACACCTTGCATTTTTCCTATAAACAGAAAACGAATGGACATAATAGAATAATAGAAACTGCTCTTTACTGAATTATTGAAATCTAGAAATGAAGCATGTATATGTGTATCTGCTTTTACAGGGCCGTACACCGTGTTTGCTCCGACAGACAAGGCCTTCCGCACTCTTCTGGTACAACTCGGTGGCCCCGAAAAAGCGGAAGAGAAATTCAGAGAGAACCCTCGTCTACTCAGTGGGGTAAGCTGATCGCTTCGTTCGCAGTGACATTTTAAACTCCAAATGTTTCAAAATTCAAATTACAACATCTTACGTCACTAAATTCTGGCGATTAAGTATTTTGAATTGTGGGGTTAAATTTTTGCGTATTGTAGGATGTTAAGATGGTTTTGCATCTTGTGCTTCTCCTACTACACCTGATGATGATGATGATGATAATAATAACAGTATTAGTAATAATGTAAATGAAAATAATTTATATCATGTAACACGATACTGGATTTATGCAACTGCTTTTGCAGTGTATGTGAGATATTTTACAACCCTAGATTCAGCGTTGGTTAGCGTGCCTTTAGGTATATGTATTCGTATACTTATCAACAAGGTTTTCTTACAATTAATTTTACTCCTGATGATGACCCAGTATTGTCGAAATATGTAGCGTAAATTATTAAATAAAGGCTATATAGACGGTTATTTAGATTTGCACAAAATTTAGTTTAATTTTTCTATCTTTTATGCATAACGTAAACTACGTGAATTGTCCAAGACAAGTGATTTTCTCGAAAACGATGCAAACCATTTTACCATATTTTACAGGTTTGTTGCGTTAAAACTTTTTACACGCCACCTTTTAAACGCCTATGAACAATGTACAAAAACTATTGTTGGTATCCTTTCTCTCAGTATCACAATGAAGGCTTTAAATTCCATCTACAAGACGTTTTAGCTGTTTCATTCAGTGTAATGAGCTTCAGGAGGGCCGATGCGTTTTCTAGTCTCTTTTCCCTAAATTAGATACCTGAATTTGAATGACAAAAACCATTGATGTCTTATTTACAACCTTGTTCTTACTGGGCGCTAAAAAATGTCTAACTAATGCAATGCGGAGTCTGTCTCGAAATGCTGAAACATTATTGTAGATTAATTTTCTCTTACCTTCACACAGGTGGTGTTATTTATCGGGCTAATTTATACTCTATCCTTCTGTAAAATATTATGATAATAATTATCATAAACTATGCAGGAAGTGAAGTAGCCTAATTGTCTGCCCCTAATCTTATTGTGCTTTCAGAGTCATTCTTTAAAAACATAATTTATACTTTCATGATGTTAGTGAGCGAAACAATTGGATAATTTTCAGTTAACTATATAAGTTTATGATCTTTTTACATCATTTGAAGTAAAGTGTCGTTGTGATTAGTACCAAGAAACGTACCAACTTTATGAACAAGAAAATGTTTGCAGCTGCGGGATAAATTCCTGAGCATTTGCCCTGAAATGTGTTGGCCTATACTGAGAATACTGGGAACGACTCCTTCTTCAAGTGCCTGAGCACCGTGGGTCCCAACTTTTCGTTGGCTTGATCTATGGACATTCGGTAGGACTCCTTGGACGAGGGATCGGCCCGTCGCAAGGCCTCGACCTGTACACAGGACAGCACAACACACAGAAAAACGCGGACAAACATCCATGGCTTGAGTGGGATTCGAACCCACGGTCCCAGCGACCAAGCGGCACAAGGTCCACGCCTCAGAACGCGCGGTTTTGGCCTATAGTGAAACATTTTCAGAGACATGCATTTTCTGTTAAATTATTGCATGACGTAATTTATACTTCCGTGCTAGTTAACATATCTTATGTTGCAATGCAGATTCTAATAACTAGTTAAATTCGCTGTCCTAAGTGACATATTTACATTTTCAATGAAAGGATAAAAGGAACAATTTTTACTGTCGTTTTTTCGCATCTTTATTCCTTAGCGGTCACTAAAGAGGGTAATTTCTAGACCCATTAACCTCCTTAGTGTCTTCTCGGTTAGGCTCATGGATTTGGTCATCGCAAACCTGTTCCTTGCAGTATGACACAGTGAAAGTACACGGTCAAACAAGTATCGCATTCCAGTAACCACATCTGATTAAAAGCTCTTACTGTCGTCTTTCTGGTGTGAAATCTCACGACCTGAAAGTGAATGGCCTTTTCACTAAAATGTAAATATAATATGGTGTATCAGGATTTGAGATTTTTATGGTCGTGAGTACGAAGATGGCTGCCTTCTAGGTGTTACAACCTAGAAGATAGCCATCTTCATAATATGTTGTAATTAAATGTAAGAGCTGTTCCGAACGCCTAAATATTAAATTTGCTCTATGTTAGGTCCAAAATTATTACTCAGTAAAGCACGCGTGTATGAGAAATGCATGTACAATTTAGTCAAGAAACCGGAAAAGATACTACTTGAGATGCAGACGTACGTAGGAAGATAATCTTAGAATGGCTTTATAAAAACAGGGTTTGAAGATGTGAACTTCATCTAGTTCAGAATAGAGCTAAATGGCGGACTCTTGTATGTATAGCCCCGGGTTCCGTAAAAGACGGGGGGGGGGGGGGGTTGTCTAGTTGAGTAACTATTATATTCTCTAGGAGGACTCTGTTCCAAGAGTTGGTTGTCATTCAGCTACTAAACGATAGACAGACAGACAGACAGAGAAAATTATGTTTTGAAGAATATAATACAAGTGTTAAATATAGGGCTTTTGATTATTTGCTTTTTTATATCACTGTATTAAAGGCTGGTGTCAAACAGAGTGAAATAATTTAGGCTTAATGAAGAGCGATTGTAAATTATGGATCCCTAGGTATGAGAGAGAACGTTGCTGTGAACGATTTGGAGACTCTACCCCGGCATTCAGTCATTTCGTGGAAACTGGGAAAAACAATGATAAAGCTAAGTCACTAAATTGGGTAATCAGTCGGAAACAGAACGGGGTACTTACCGAATAAACGTCAGACGAGTTATCACTGTTCTAACCCGTCCGGTATGAAAATATAATTCATACTGTGCAAGTAATTATGTTTATTCAGAACTTGACAAATCTCCTTCTATCACTACGACGCAAAATGTACCGATTATCTCATTTTCTCCTCTGCACCTTGGCTGTTCCTTTGCAAATAACGAATTGACAACTCCTTGTCCAGTTGCTGCTGCATCATGTAATCCCTGGGGCCTTCGAGTTGTCATCACTGCAGGATGAGATGACTGGAGTCAGCCTCGCTGGTACGCAGTTGCGGGTTAACACCTACGCCTCTCAGGATGTCGAGTGGAATGATGTTCAGGTCAGGCCCCAATGTATTCCTCGCGGATGCAACTGTTGTGCAGTGGCCGAGACGAAACCGTGCGTCTGTTAAAGGAAAATATAAAGGGAGCAGAGGGTTAAGGGTGTAGCAGGTAAGGACGCGAAAGCTGAGTGAGATTTCAGGTCTCATGGTGGCAAGAATGAAGACGAATTGACTTCTGGGATGTAGTCTCATAGAAGTTAACCGCCACCGTCATCAGAAAGATGGTCGCTCTGGCACTGTCTAGACTACAATTATTATTTCCCAGAAGCAATAATTAAGATCTCACTGTCTGATTTACTCTGTCGGTAATGTTCTTGGCTTATCTTTAACCCGGAAGATAGTGACACAGAACAAACGCGCGGGTTGGTTCCGGCCACTGTACTTTCAATTCATGTTATGAGACGAACACGTTCATCATTTGTGACAGGACTTCGCTTCTAGTTTTCCAAAACATAAATGCTACTTTCAAGTTTTGTGTGTTTTATGGTAATGATTCTTTTTGTACCAGAATATTGTTATTCAAAGCACAGTAGAGGCTTTGTGAAAGTTATACGAGGTAAAGGAAACGTATAAGGTGGACGAATTTCGGTTACAGACGCCACCTCGCAGATCCTATCAGTTGTTGAACTTTATCACCTGAAGGCAAGAAATTTAATTCTAGAAGATTAATTTTCCGTTCAGAAGATCACATTCGGATTTTCGACTTTATATCAATACTTAACGATTGTATTCCTGAGGGCATTTCGAGTCACAAATGCCACATGAACATAGATCGGATTCTCAGATGTTACTGAACTGCCGAAACTTGAAACTCAAGGTGCATTCGTCTTGCAGCATCAGAAACTAGCAACTGTGCCAGGAACTGATGTCTGTAGAAAGCTTCTTGTGCTCTAGGTGGTGACGGTCAACGGAGCCCGCATCTCGCGGGACAAACACGACATCCCGATCCCCCAGGGCGTCGCACATGCTGTGGACAGAGTCATGTTCCCACTTCCAGTCGGCAACATCATCCAGACACTCCGGTCGGACAGAGAGCGTCGGTTCACTAAGTTCCTGCGTGCCTTCCAGTCGTCTGGACTTGCGGACACCTTCACAGGTAACAACATGCCCCTTTCGCATCTGAGATTTGATATTATAACGGGGTTAAAGATGTTGATGTTGGTATTCTTGGTCGTAACGCCAATGTTTCGAAAAACCTACTGCCAAAAACTTCAACGCTTCAGTTTCAACCCTCAAGACGGAGGAAACATGTTTCTCCGAAAGCCCGTGCAACATTATAACCCAGAAGACCAAAATCGACGTTCTGTGTACCTAGTGCTTAAAAAAGAGAGGCGATAGCTTTTTTTTAATTTATTTGTTTGTTTATTTATTTGCGATTTATTTAAAAACGCTTTCAGTAGCTCAT